GGCTAAAGTCCATAAAATGAATTAAGAACACATAAATTTTTATCATCTGCGACGTGACGAATACATTTTAATTTACTCAAGAATGCGTACCCTGATACATTAAATCTAATTCCTGTCTTATTTAATTTCACAACTTTGAAAAGGAATGTATGAATAGCTATAAAATGATGAGATGATGTTTTATGGGTTGCTTCCATTTTTTCTGAAATAAATGAATAAATATAATGTTTATAAGTTTTCATATCTTTTATATTCTTAATAACGAATGGTATAGACCTTTCAACTTCGTCTTCCTTCGGTGCTGTTCTTTCATATGAAACATTATTAGTATCTTCAATAATGAAACCACAATCGCATAAAATTTTATATGTACCAATTGTTTCTTTTGATATTTTATCTAACAAATCAAAAACTTTATCAACACCTGCACATTTATTTAAATAATAATTTGTGTAAATATCATGGTCTTCTTTCTTAATCGTATTTGTTGCATATGTTACATTTTTCAGTGCTTTTTTGAATTTTTCAGAATCAAGAGGAGGTGAAAGTAATATACATGGATAATCTCCATCGTCAATAAATTGTAACTTATGTTTATGAATAAATTTTGTGCCTTCTTCTGAAAGTGTTTCATCTATTTCACCATCTAATAAATTTTTAGTAGATTCCAAAAAGTAATTTTTATATCTTTCTTCATGAGATTTTTGAACTTCTGATTCTGAAGCTGGGATATTCATTAAACCCTCTACTTCATTCTCATTATATTTTTCAACTTCTCTTAATTCCTTAATTTTTTCATCTATTTCATCTCTTATTTTTTCCAGTCTTTCAATTTCATCATATTCATCATCTTTAATCCGTTCTTCATAATATTCAGGGAAAACATCAGGTTCTTTAGGTTTTTCTTCTTCAGATGTGGGATATAAGAAATTTATAACATCATCTTTATTCATTTTTCCATCATAATCTAAATCATTTAATAACTCCGCGAATTTTTGACAATTTCTTAAATAATATTTATTAACTTCATAACTCGCCTCCTCTAATATATCCTTTATTTCCTCGTTTGTGAATCCCAATTTTTTAACGTCGTTAGTCTTGACACTCATTTTCATACGAATTAAAAAAATAAATTATTCAAAAAATGTAAGACATGAATTTTTAAAGTTTATTTTTTTATTCATGAAAATAATTATTTCTAATTTCTTTTACTCTCTCGTATATACTAGATTTAAAGAATTCAGAACTTTTACCATAATCTCCTAAATGTTTTCTTATCCCCAACGTGTGCCAGTTATTATATGAAACTGAATAAACTTTATCTTTATCTTTACACCTTTCATCACTTCCAATATATTTATATCTCAGTTTTGATTTAGCATTTTCATATTCATTAGCGTTTAATAATTCACAGTCTTCCTTTTTAAATTGATGTTTAAGATATTCAGGATTTAATACTCTACGTTTATATGCTCCTAACTTAGTTCTAAAGGTTTTTCTACAAAATTTAGGAATTCCATCCTCTTTAATGTCATCAATGATTTCCATTTCATTATTTTCAATTTCTTCTTCTCGTTTATGAGGTCTTTGATTATGACTCCATTGATTCCATGAAATTAAATATTCTTTATCATTATATTTATACCTCATTAGCTTATTTTGGCTTTCATATTCATTTAATAATTCACAATCTTCATTTTTAAATTGAAGTTTAACCCATTCAGGATTTAAACAATGTTTAATTAATCGCGGAATATCTGACATCATCTATATATAGCTTCTTTTATAAAAGATAAAAAAATAAATTATTTTAAAATTAATGTTAATTCTTTAATGATTTATAAATAAATATATTTTAATGCATCGTCTATATATAGATGTTACAAAAAAAGTCACTAAACCCGTACTCATATACTACTCATTTTTGATTGAATTTAATATTTTTTTACACTTAATCATGAATATGTGCCAACAGGATATAATGCATTATAGTTCACTTCAAGGAGATGTATTAAATACACTCTATAGATTCCCACATAAGCTAAAAAAAATTGAACAAATATCTTGGAATTATTTAATGGTAGAATGGCGGTTTATTTAATGTTCAAGATTGAATTCTTGAAGTTTCAAGAAATATTAATGATTTTTTTTTAGAGAAATCATTACAAACTGAAGTAAAAGATGAATAAAAACTGTAATGTTGCTAAAAATCTGCGGAACAATAGAAGATTTCTTAACAAATTTTCTGAGGATCAGAATATTAAATTACGATTAAAATTCGGCCATTAAATATTTAATCGTAATGATGATAAATAGCCGATAATGGGAATGATTATAATTGATGGTTAGTAGTTTCTGAGTTTGAATGAAATATAATCAATATTTTGATCAAAGTCAATACGAATTGTTAAAACATTTTAGTAATCTTTTGCATATCTTCGGCATACTCTGAAAGATCAGGCAATTCATCGACAATTGAATCAAATCCGAGTTTTCGTAATGCTTTGATAACTCCTGTAGAATCTACATACTGCTTAGGACGCTCGGAATTATCAATTGCTGCTAAAGCCATTAGTTCGATAAATTCTGTTGTCATTTCTGTCAAAAATTCAATACTTCCTTGGCACAATCTCACATCTGAGTCTCCAATACCCGCCTTTGCTACTGATTTAACTCTTTGTGGATTCAATCTAATCTCTTCTTCAGTCATTCAATTTCATTGTCACCTTTTGTTTACAGGCGTGCAGTTTTCATGTTTCGACTATTTCATCCTTCATTCATGCTTTTTGGAAGGGCACATTTAGAAATATGAGGGCCATAATTATAAAAGATATAATTTTCTAACACAGAATAGTAAATGAGAGTTTATATTTGCAGATATATCTGAAAAAAATAATACAACGCATTTATGCATAATCAAATCATGCAATATAATTACAATATTTCATCAAATATATCAGCAGCTAATAATATTCGTAATAGAGAGATTTATCAAATGATTATTAGGGAAGTCCATGGACGATTGGAGCGTCCGGGGACTAGATCGCTGTCCATGGACTTGATTCATATCCATGGACAACAACATGTCCATGGATATAAATCAAGTCCGTGAATAAATATCTTGTCCATGTAAATGATACTTGTCCATGGACATGATTCTTGTCCATGGATAAGGCAATTATAACAGACAACAACGCATGATGGACAATGTATATATATATATATATATAAGTAAATGTGGATAAACTCCTCTTAAATATGCAATATATATATATAAGTAAATATGGATAAACTCCTCTTAAATATGCAATATATATATAACGTATGAAACACAAGCTCATCTTTTGTATATAGATATATATTGGTTAACATAATATATTGACACTTTTATCAATATACCCTTAAATAATATATATAATTAAACATATAAAAATAGTATATATATGGAGATATTCCTATTATTTATGCAATATTTATATATAAATTCTTATTAAAAATTATGTTTAAAAATTTAAAAGGATATACTTCTATTGATTGTGCATTATAAATTTATTTAATCAAAAATTTCTAAATAAATAGACGGACTTAATATTTTTTCACGGAAAATGACATTTTATAAGGAATTGGCCACATCCATGGACAGGTATCATTTACATGGACAAGGAGCTTTACATGGACTTGATTCATATCCATGGACATGTTGTTGTCCATGGAAACGAATCAAGTCCATGGACAGCGATCTAGTCCCCGGACGCTCCAATCGTCCACGGACTTCCCTATTATGTCATACCTAAATTCTAGAAATATATAAGAAATTTATGCCAACGAACATGACCAAACTGGTAAATTAAGCATTTAAGATATAATTAATTTTTATATTTATCTTATTGCTGTTTTAATGCTCAGCTTATTGAATTATTTATTCAGATGCTTCATAAGACTTTGTGTTATTAGTCACAAGATAGTAGATTTTGTTCAAATCTAGAGATGAAAATAACAACATGCAAGAGTCAATCATCAACATATTAACAAGTTATGAATTAGACTTGTTTGTGTTTAATTTGATTTTTGAAAAATCAAACCAAATCTGAAAGTATATTTTATTGATGTTTCATAATGGTTTTGTATTGTGTGTCTTTGTTGTATGCATTTTTTAGGTTCGTTTTTCAGTATTTATTGAAGATCTCATTTGTAAATTTTTATCGTCTGGAGGTTTGGGTTGGCCTTTTGGAAATGTCAAAGGTCAGTGTCCACATCCGCAAGTACATTGTCAACAAGCTTCTTGACCGCAAGCAGTTTGTTATTGATATGCAGCATCTTGGTGCTAAAGCTCCAACACGCGACGAGATCAAGGATGAAGTTGCATCCCGCCTTAAGGCCAACAAAGACCTTGTTGTCATTTTTGGTCTTGAGACAAAGTTTGGTGGTGGCCACACAACCGGCTTTGGCTTTGTTTACGATAGCCTTGATGCCCTTAAGAAGACTGAACCAAAGCACCGCCTGATCAAGGCCGGTCTTGCCGAGAAGGGCAAAGTTACTCGTCGTATGCGTAAGAACGCTCGCCGCCAAAAAGTTAAGGTCTGGGGCTCCGGCAAGCGTGCCGAAGCACACAAGATCCGCCGCCAGCAGCGCAAGGAGGAACTTGGCTCACATTAAATTTGATAAATATAGATTACAATGTCAATACACTCATCCTTTCTTGAGTAAAAGGCCATATTTTAACTACTTCCTTATAAATCAAACAAACGAACGAACAAACTTTCAACCATACAAAAGAAATCTTCATTGACATCAATTATATCTTTTGAAAATTCTATACTCTATATAATTTTTTTTTTAAATCACTGGTATCTTTTTTTGAACAACAGTTTTATGAATATGAACTATCAATTGAGATTTAATATCAACCAATAAATATACATAGATATAAATACAAACATTTTATTCAAATATTTTCTAAATAATTTCTTTTGATTAACAAAATTATAACAATTGTTATATCAGATATCTTCATCTGATTTAATCTCTTCATTTTGTTCATCTTTATCTTGATTCTCGTTGCTTTCTTTATTAGAATCATCATTATCTTTAATATGGACACTGTTATTGTCTAATGTTTCGTTATCTTCTAGCTTTTCTTGAGAATTCTTATTGGAATTTATTGGTTCTTCTTTATCTTCTTGTGAATTTTGATTCTCTGAAGAATGTATTTCAGATACATTTTGGTTTTTCTCATTCTTAATATTCTCAATAGAAATTTCTTTTAATTCGTTTGAATTTTGGTTTGAATCAGTTTCATTTTCTTTAATTTCATCATTATCCTTTGATTCTTCCTTAGATTCATTATCAATTTCTTTTGAATCCATGTTAGATTCATTCGAACTTTGGATTTCTTCATTAGAATTCTTTGTTTCTTCTTTGTTTTCGCCAGAATTCTTTGTTTCTTCTTTAGTTTCATCAGAATCCTTTGTTTCTTCTTTAGTTTCATTAGAATCCTTTGTTTCTTCTTTAGTTTCATTAGAATTCTTTGTTTCTTCTTTAGTTTCATTAGAATTCTTTGTTTCTTCTTTAGTTTCATCAGAATCCTTTGTTTCTTCTTTAGTTTCATTAGAATCCTTTGTTTCTTCTTTAGTTTCATTAGAATTCTTTGTTTCTTCTTTAGTTTCATTAGAATCCTTTGTTTCTTCTTTAGTTTCGTTTGATGCTTGATTCTCAAGTTGTTCTCTGAAGTGAGCAATTGCGGCGAGTAAATTATCAACATCCGGTTCAAATCCAGCAATTGATTTTCCAACAGCAGCAAAAAGAGGAAGACAAATGTACATAAAGAAGCCCAAATTACTTTCCTTTTGATTGATGGTAGTTCTGGATGCTTCTCCATCGAAGAACATTCCTTTGCATCTCAAGATTTCTCCGAACATAAAGAAATCACGTGAAAATTCATATCTTTTCTCTTCAAGTTCATTCAAAGGAAGAATTACGTCATGAAGATCAGCACATTTCATAACAGCATCTAGCATTGCATTTAGATGAGTTTCCTTTGATGAATCGAAACCATCTTCTTCTTCAAGGCATTGCTGTAATGTATCCATGATTTCGAAATGTCTGGAAAGATCAGTTGCATGTGCAAATCTAAATGTATCTTTCCAAATATTTCGTTGTTCATCTTCTTTTATATTTTCCAAAATATTACATTCTTCAACTCTTATTATCTCAGTTAATGAGTTACATCCACTATCAACACATATTCCATTGCATTCTGCTATTGCTTCCAATGCAACTTCACCGAGTTCTTCGAAGTTTGGCCGATCAAGTTCACAACATAAACTTGCCAACAACATACTCAAACATTTGTTTTTCGGAGTAGACATCAATTCTTCGAATTTCAATGCGCGAACTAGATATTTAAATGTATCTAATGTATGAGCAAACGATCTAAATCCTTCAGGATATCTAGTGGATATCTCCAAAACAAGCATCAATATTTTTGAAACAGAAATAGTATAAGAAGAAATTAATCCAAGATGATAAAAACCGCTGACAACAATTTTGAAAGCGTCATCAATTGTATCTGTTGCAGCGTAGTCAATCTCTTTCACGGAAATAAGGAGTGATTGTGGGACAGAAGGAGAATTGTCATCATCTTTGATGTATCTCCTTAAATGCATCTTTTTGTCCCACATCTTTGACAATGATTTAATTTGTGATGGTCCAAATTTTGACAAAGAAATTGACAAAAACGTTTTGATCATTTGAATCTCTTCAGGTGTTGCAGCACTCATTGCCGTGAAAATAAAGATTCCGACAGGTTTTTCTTCATCCAAAATTGGTGACCCGACAACAACAGTTTTCAATGGTTTAATAACATCTTTTTGGTTCCCAGAAGATCTGTTTGAACTCAGATAAGAACGAGAAGATGTTTTTGGCTCTGAATCATGTTCTTTATCAGGACTTTCAGGAATAACAGCTTCAATAATTTTCACGGAATATTCAGTTTTTGTCAAACTTTCTTTTGCAAATTCGTAATATTGGTTTCCATCATTTCCATTTTCTTTGAAAAGGGAAACGTCAATGCCATTAACAGAAGGAATTGCCAGATACAAACAACTACTTGCCAAACAAGTAAATTTCAAAGCTTTGTTTGAAATCGAATCAAGAAGTTTTTGAACATCCGAAATCTTCAGATCATTTGAATCAAAATTGATGTCTTCATCCATTTCGGAGAGCATTGATGTGATGGAAATAGATCTATGATGTACAATAGCGTTTTGCAAAGCAACACCACAGATATTTGAGAACGATTGTGCTGTTGTTACATCATTATCATTAAAACAATTTTTGTTTTTGTTCAGACATAAAACAACAGCTAAAACAATTCCTCCTTGTCCTGAAATAGGAAATCCTAAGATATTATTAACTTTTTCTACATCCCCTGCATCAATATTTTTATCATAATATTCGTTTTTGCTTGGATCTTCAACGAGAACTGTCATTTTACTTGAATAAACATAAGAAGCCAATCCATCAGTGATTTGGAATGCTTTGAATTCAGATATATCATTTCCAAAATCACTATGGAATTCATTCTTTTGCGTATCACTTAATAATAATCTGGCGGTTTGACAGTTCAAAAGTGAAGTGATATTTTCTTCAATTCTTTTGATTAAATCTCTTAAATCAAGAGTAGAAGCAATATCAGAGGAAGCATCAAGTAATCTTGTTATTATTACATCATTATTATCATTAGATGTCGTAGGAGCTTGCGAGAAACCAGTTGAAAAAGCAATAGATCTTAGGATAAAAGGCATCAAAGAAGAACAAAGTTGTAAATCATGGGATGTAAAGAAATCATAATCCATTCTTTCTCTCATAACCATTGCCCATGTTTTTCCATCGAATTGTATAGTAGTTACTAATATAGGAGTTGAAGGATCTCCATCAGCTCGTTCACTAAAATTCGCGTGAGTTCCACATCGAGGTAAATTCACATCTTGGCATCTTTTCAAACAATTCGCGACAATTCCAATTGAACAACGATATAAAAGTGTGAAATTGGAGTATTCTGGCATGAACTTTGCATATTCATCACTCCTATTATCGTAATACCAGAACTCAATTGTTTTTGCTTTTATCACTTTTTGAATTGTTTCAATTATGTTGTCAACTGTTTTTGAAGGTGAAGAAATCTGTGCAATGCTTGATGCCATCATCAATCTCATGGGAGGACCAAAGAAAGAACCACCGTAAATCTCAAATTTCCGCATAAAAAATGAAGCTTTTTCTTCATCAGAAATTGAAAAAGGTGACATTTCTTTTTCTCTTGTAATTTGTAAAATTGCGATTGTCATTCCATTGTTTATAAACAAAGGAATAAACAATTGATGGTCTGTTGTATTCGCCTGTATCTGATTAGCTTGTTCTTCATCACTGATATCCGGTAATCTCAACACTGTTTTTTGAGAAGAAACCAATTCAAAAATTGAAACATTTTGTGAAATTTTTGAATCCAAAGTTCTCGAATAATAAAATTTTTCTTTGAAATCATAGATCCATACGATACTTTTTGATGCTTCAAAGTATCCTTTCGCTAGTGGTTCGAATGCTTTATCAAATGTCATTACGTTACATCTGTCCATCATTTGGTCGAAGAATTTTTCATCATTTAATCTGTTCACTAATTTTCTTCTGTAGTCAACATCGTTTGGATTAAGAAATGGCTGAGCTTTGAGTGAAGATGTGGCTGTGGGTGATGGTATTGGCATTGATGATTGCGCTCTTCTGTGGATTGGTCGATTAAAAACTTCGATTTTCTTTGTTTTTGAAAGAGGAGGAACTAATTTATGTTTTTGAGAGATATTGAGGGCTTGAAGGACTTTCGCTTTAGTTGTATTACGTGTTTCTCTGGATTTAGATCGTGATGTTAGTGCCGTTTGTTCAGTTTGGACGGCAATTTGTTCTGTATGTTGAATCTTTACTTTATGCTTAGGTTTTTCTTTCTCCGTTTCTTTTGGTGGTGTTTCAAACATTGAAAAATACCCTTTGTACTGTTCTTTCGATAGTAAATTCCACTGATAATTCTTAAATAAAAATAAAGCTTTGTCTTTGTCTGTATTGTAGAGCTGAGATACCATTATAGCAAATAGTTCTTGATTGTAATCTGTATTTTCGGCCATTCTAACAATTTGAATAATAATATTCGGATTTACTAAATAAATTAGATGACTTGGATCTGTAAGGAGTTTCTCATAGTTTGCACATGCATTTTTAATAGCAGTTTTATCTGCTTCTGTAGTTTTTCGCGGATTTATTTTTTGTAAATTTTCAACAACGATTTCTTTTGATAATTCTTGGAGATTTTGAGCTTTGATATATGCTTCGCACCGTGATACTAATGATTGTACCATCCAATCTTTTGCCATGTGATACAAATCAAAAATATAATCAAGGTAAAAGTGGGTGAGTTTGTTATTGCATGCATCTAACAGTAAGTGAAACACGTGATTTGAATAACTAGAATCATCTATAACAAGCTTGAGAGGATTATTTTGATATAAAGTTTTAAAATAAGGAGAAGCTTGTGATAAAAGAAGAGGATCTTCAATTGGAACTTGTTCATCTTTATAAACAATCATGTATTGCTGCTGTCCAATCTCCTCTTCTTCAGTCATTCAAAATAACGAACAATTTTGTCAGAAAAATACAAATCAAGTTATCCATCATGTTTGCTGAGAAAATATATATCATATTAGATATTTTATGCAGAGGTGCTTTACATGTTCATGAATATCAGCCAGAATGTACAAGAAGAAGTCAATTCAAATGAAATATATTTTTACTGAGTTGCAAATGTTGTTGAGAAAAGTTAATGCCTGGAAATGAATGGCCTTGGTTTGGTCGTTAGTGAATTCTCCCTTCAAAAGTATGTTTTATCTTAGCTCATAAGAAAGATCCTTTTTTCCATATGAACTTCAACTTTTGGTTGGGGAGTTATGCAAACTTTAATTTTTAATACTCTTCAATCAAATGTCCCATTACATATGTCATATTGTGTCTTATACACCCATGCAATTATGTCTATTGGTCAAAACGAAAGTTAAATCAGATGAAGTAATGCAAATGAGAAAAAAAAACTTGAAAGATAGATGATTTGTTGCTATTGCTCTTCTCTGCAGCATAAAATCATTTAACAGTTAAATATATCATTTCTTTATCTCAGAATATAAATTATGCATATTCTGCATTATGAGGAGGTGTTTATTCTATTCAAATAATGATTATTCATCGTAAAATTTTGATATAAATCACCATCAAGTTTTTTTACTAAATTCGCCTCTCTTTGGGAGTTTGATTGATCTTTTGAGGTCGAAACCAATAAATTAACATCACTAAAAAGAATCGCTTAAAGACGAATTCATATTTATGGATGTTTAAACATAACTTTTTCATCGTTACTTCCTGTCAATAATACATAATTTATATGGAGATTGGAAAGTTTACATGTGACTATCTTAAGATAGCCACATAAAAGTAACATTCACACATATAGCCTGCGATTCTAGTGTTAAAGATGAAAGAGTAAATATATACAGGTAATTTTTTAGGTATGAATTAGACAACGACATTGAAAAATATTCGTACATAAAGATGTTTAAAAATAGTGTTCATAGAGACAATTAACTTCATCTCAACACATACACACATAAAAATATTAATTTGATATATATATATACAAACAGATAATTCTTCAAAGGTTATAATTAGACAAGTAACTTCATCTAAAAATATTCACACATAAAGATGTTTAAAAATAGTGTTCATAGAGACAATTAACTTCATCTCAATGAATACACATAAAAATATTAATTTGATATATATACAAACAGATAATTCTTAAAAAAAAACTAATTAGACAATTTTTTGCATTGAACTAATGCAGCAGAAATAGTCATATTTGCGTACTCCAATTGCGAAGTCAGTGCAGTGATTGGAGAGAAGTTTTGTACGAAAGAAAACACTTCTTCTACGTTTGGCAAGTCGCAGGAGTGCAAAACAAGGAGAAAAAGGCCAAAAACGCAGTCGAATGTCGATGCATCATCTCTGTTTTTTTCGGTTGATGCGTCAAACGCATAGACCTTTATGTCAGAGAGAGCACTGTATATCCTGTCCATGACATCGAATGGAGATGTCATGTATGCACTGGAGTTGATTTTTTCGGCTGCTTCTGTCAGTTTTTTACTTTTTGAAACAATTACACGGACTGAATCTCCATCTTCGTGGGGAGGTAGGAATTCCTTCTTCACAGCTATCTGGTCGATGGTTATTGACTCGCTTTTTGGCCTAAAATGTGGTTCTTCATTTCGGAAAAAATAATCTGGGTTGGATTGGATGCAGGCATTGAAAATCGAGCGGAACGTCGTCCAGAGAATGATGTTCTGCTCGTTTTCATCTGTAATTTCAAACTCTTCTGAAATATTTTTGATTAATTGGACAATTTCGTCACTGAATACGTGCGGATCCTTTTGTAATGAGATGTTCATGATGTCTCGGATCTGGTCTGCGAAAATAAAGTTATTGGAAAAAAGTAATTGATTCAATCTTTCTTGATATGGATTTTCTGGGATGATACAGTGCTTAGTACGGTCAAAAACAGCTTTCATTGAGAATATGATGTTCCGAAGTATCGATTTCTGACTAGAAAAGTCACTTATTGAAAGTTCAAGAGATGTAATTTTCGAAATGTAGTCAGAATCACGAGAATTGAGCTGAATAACTTTTCTATCATCATTTAAAAGTTGCCAATAAATTGATTGTTCATTGATTTTTATAATTACTTGTCGAGTTTTTCTGGCTACTTGTTTTAGAGCAGAAAGGAGCTCATCCATAGAATGTATGATGTCATTGTATGTTTTAATTCGTTGGTTGTATATCTTATTCTGTAGATAAAAGTGATAATGAGCATATGATGTGGATTCATCGCTTAATCCATGGCTGATTTCGCGAATATATGGCTTCTCTGGCTTGCTGGGAATGATTGTTTCGTTTATCATTTTTTCTAAACGTGCAATAGTTTGAGGTAAAAGGTTATCGTTGATTTCGTTCTTGTTTTTAGAAGTAATGGAAGTGATTTCGACGTATTTGATCATGTTTTGGTGATGAAGAAGCCAGTTATTTAAAGGATCATTCGAGAAATCATATGTTTCATCATCACTCATTTTTTAGTCATAATTATTGGCGTGCAACGCCGATAGAAATTAAATCGTTAAGATTTCATACATAAATAATCGTTTGCGAGAGAATTACATTCTTATTGCATTTGAAACAGGCTTTGTACATGTAAAAAACATTAAAAAAATAATATCTCTCGAATATGGTTATTGAGTAGTAGGGTATGAAGGGTTGTGTGACTTTTTTTGTTACATCTATATATAGACGATGTATTAAAATATATTTATTTATAAATCATTTAAAAAATTAACATTAATTTTAAAATAATTTATTTTTTTATCTTTTATAAAAGAAGCTATATATAGATGATGTCAGATATTCCGCGATTAATTAAACATTGTTTAAATCCTGAATGGGTTAAACTTCAATTTAAAAAGGAAGACTGTGAATTATTAAATGAATATGAAAGCCAAAATAAGCTAATGAGGTATAAATATAATGATAAAGAATATTTAATTTCATGGAATCAATGGAGTCATAATCAAAGACCTCATAAACGAGAAGAAGAAATGGAAAATAATGAAATGGAAATCATTGATGACATTAAAGAGGATGGAATTCCTAAATTTTGTAGAAAAACCTTTAGAACTAAGTTAGGAGCATATAAACGTAGAGTATTAATCCTGAATATCTTAAACATATATTTAAAAAGGAAGACTGTGAATTATTAAACGTTAATGAATATGAAAATGCTAAATCAAAACTGAGATATAAATATATTGGAAGTGATGAAAGGTGTAAAGATAAAGATAAAGTTTATTCAGTTTCATATAATAACTGGCACACGTTAGGGATAAGAAAACATTTAGGAGATTATGGGAAATGTTCTGAATTCTTTAAATCTAGTATATATGAGAGAGTAAAAGAAATTAGAAATAATTATTTTCATGAATAAAAGATTCACTACCATAATGAAATAAAAAAATAATTTTTTAAAAAATAAACTTTAAAAATTCATGTCTTACATTTTTTGAATAAATGAAGGGTCCCTCGGTCCCTCGGTCCCTCGGTTAATTAACATCTTTTTGAAAATAGTGACAACATGACATTTTGACAACAGGGAAAAAAAAGGAGGAAATTCATGTCTTACATTTTTTGAAAATTTATTTTTTTAATTCGTAAGAAAATGAGTGGATCAAGATTCGTAACCGTCAATCAATTAATGGATGCTCTTTCACCAATTCTTGAAAATGTTAAACAAGTAGATGTTTATTTCGATGATTATGTAGAAAGTTTATATTATAAAGGTAAACATAATATTAAACCCATTGCTTTTGCATTTGATAATAAATTAATTGAAAATGCAAAAATTTGGAAATTAATTCCGAATATTGAATTTATAACAAATATTAATGATAAATGGTTTAAACGAATTCCAACCACAAAAGTTCTTTGTAAATTAATGATCAAAACTGAGGAAAAAGAATTTAACGAGTTTAAATATCATCCAAATAAAGTTTCAGAACTAGAAAATGAAAAACTTCAGAAAAAATTAAACGATAGACTTTCAAATGATCGTATTGAAAAAATAAATAAACTAGCAGAAGTTGCATTTAATAATGAAATATTTGATGAATATAACCTTGAACTCAGTGATGGACTTTAAGTCCTGGGCACTTCATGCCTTGGGCTTTAAGGACCCGGGCTCAACGAGTCATGATTTATGAAATCAATAATTTGATTTATTCTTTCTTCAATAATTTCTATTCTTTTTGTTAAATCATCAATTTTCATTAATGAGGTGATTCTTGATTGAGGAATAGATTTCAAACTAACCACCCCCTTTATTTTTGAAATTTTGAATCCATCAACTTTAAACATTTTATTCAATTTACACGTTGTCAATTCTTCAAATAATTTTTTATTATTAGCATAATAGTCATTAAATTCTTCAACAGATGAAAAAATTTTTGTTTCAGTAATTGGTTTAATAATGTTTATTTTTTGTTGAACATTTTCACTTTCATTTATTTCTTCCTCCTCTGTTTCATTTATTTTTAAAATCGGTTTCATTTATCATTAAATAAAAATTAGAATATAAGTGATGAAATATATTTTTTAATTAATATTAAATCAGAAATGGCTGCAGGATTCTTTAAAAAATTATGGGAAGGAATTAAGAAAGCTGCAAGTTGGGTTCATCAGAAAATAATAAAACCCATTGCAAACTTTTTGGCACCAGTAGCGAAAACGGCAGGAACTATCATAGGTGGAGTATTAGGTGCTAAAGCAGGTAATCCGGCGATGGGAGCACAAGCAGGTAACGCAGTTGGTGGAATTGCTGAAGGAATACTTAATAAAATAGGAGGTAAATAGTGGAAAAATAAATAAATATTATTTTTATCTCAATATCGGTTGTAGTCGACGATAAACTTTATCTCCTTTATTTAATACTTTCCTTACCGGAACATTAGGTGCTATTTGTTCTGCAACGTCACTAATTGCTTCTTTATTCTTAAATATCCAATTTGCTCCTTCTTCATTGTTTCCCAAACTTTATGTGCTCCTCTTTTTACTTTATCCCATAACTTTTTAAAGAATCCTGCAGCCATAGTTGATTATTTCATTAAAATTAAAAATTCATTTTCATCTTTTAATTTTGATTTTTTATATTATCATAAATGACGACTAACTATTTAGTGCCAAACACTAAACCGATTAATGGAAATGTATTTCATTCATTCGAAAAGATAAATGAAATATTCGCAAAGAATGACGGTAGAAGATATTATAGAGAACTTGAAAGTTCATGCTATGACTCTGATGCTCCATATTTTGATGATAAACAAACTCATTTAAGAATTACAAATCCGGCTCATGATGTGAACCAATTAGGTGACACATATATTAAACGCAAAGTTAAAGCAACTCTAGTTTCAAATAAAGCTTTCACATGCGATGACGCTTTTAAATGCATGCGTTTATTCGTTGGTTACAAATCATCAAATCAAAGCTTTAAACAATTAGAAGTAGAAACTGAAAGAGGTGATGCCGGTTATCTTCAGATGGATTGCGCCCGTGAATCTTTCGCATTTGCAACATATAAACCAAAATCAGAAAGGAAAGTTAAAAAGTTTGTTCATTCGTTATATAATAATGTTCAAAAATATGATAACTCAGTATGTGGTAAATATATTGACCCTTCAGAAGTTTTCAAGAAAGCAAATGAAGAAGTTGATGTCACTTTTGATATGATTATTCCGGTAAATGATTTGTTAGCATTTCAGGCGTTCGATGATTATCCTAAATCATTTGGTGAAATCATTCTTAAATATTATGTTTTCAGGGATAGTTTAGTATTTTGTCAGGTTGACCCGTTAAGAGTTGCTGATTTACAAAATTACGTTTATGAAAAGATAACTGATGTAAATTATGAAAAGATTATGAATCATGTTTATAAATATGATCGCAAATTCCAACAAATCGGACTTCCTGCCAAATTAATTACAAGCTTAGCCGCTACATCTGCTGACGCAAAAGTTGATGACGTTATTATTTCATGCACAAAGATGGAAGTTTTAGAGGATAAATGCATTACACCAGGATACGGTTTAATTGAAGAATCAGTTAAAGCAATACCACGTTTATTCAGTAAGGAAGATCCATTCATGATTCCAGCTCAACATATTGACGTTCGTTCACTAAATGGAGGTTGCATCACTCCTGAAGGTATCAGTTCTGATTTCTCATACGCTCTTCATAATGTTACAGATGTTGTGTTAGCATTTCCGAAGAATGCAATGCAAAGAACAGTTTTAGAAAATCCAATGCTTCGAGGTCTTCAGGTCACTATAGATTCCAGAAACTTCCCCGATCAAGCGATGACCACAGTGGGTGACATATTCTTTACACGTATGCTTCAAGCTTCTGATTTAGATGGAGTGAATGAATGCACAGAAGAATACGAGGACTCATTAACTAGACCACTGAATGATGATAATGGCACGCCATTAGCTAGAACATGGAAAGACCAAACTTCATTCTTATGCACTATTCCAGTTCAACGTGATGGAGCGGGTATATTCTTTGATGGATTAGAAACTTTCAACTCACAAGTTACAGTACAAGTGAAAGCTTATCCAATCATTCAGGGTGAAATGACACTTACTGTTCAAAGGTGACAAATCCTCCTCAGGTTTGGTTTACTAGGACTACGTATTGGACATGGACACCGGATGAAGGTTTGAAATATCATCCAACAGGTACACCACCACAGTATAGAAGTTCATATGATGAAATATTGATGAATAGAAATGTTTAAAATTATAAATTTATTTTTGATTAAATGGATTTCAATTCTGAAGAATTAGCGGGAGTATATAATACATACGTAGATGATATGATTAATGAAGCATTGAGTGATAATAAAAATGCTCTATCTAAGGAAAAATTAATGAAAATTCCATATTCTGAATGTTACTTAAATTCAATCACTGCAGCAATTGGTAAACAAAATAAAGGTAAAACATTAACGATATTAAAACAAATTATCATTATTGCTAACACTTCACCTTATTCTCATGTGTTAATTTATATCAACCGTTCAGGTTCACCTTCTGATGATACATTTGAATTTTAAAGCATTTAATCAAAATTCCAATTATTTATTTATCACAAGAAGAAGCGGAAGATTATTTGAAAAACTTTTTAATGTATAAAGAGTTATATAATACAATCAAGAAGCAAGGATTAGAGGATAAAATTATTGATAAACAAAGGGATGAATTATTTGAAACACTTTCTATTTCAAATTTTGATAGAGAATTTTTGCATTCACTAATTTTTCTAGATGATGCCGTGAAATCAAAACTAATAACTAATGAGAAATCATATTTTAATCAATTATTAACTCAATGTCGACACATTCAGTGTTCATTCTTTATGGCTGTTCAATACTTTAAAGCATTAAGCACAAACATTAAATCAAACCTGTCCACACTTTTCATTTTCAGTGGGTTTAGTCGTCAACAGTTGAACGTTATGCTTTATCAAGTGAATTTACCAATGAGCATTAATGAACTTTACACACAATATCAACAATTAGGAGAACATGGAAAAATAATAGTTGATTTAAATAAAGGTTCCATTAAATTCGAATAACTTTTTATAATTAATTTTTATTTTTTATTTATAATTAAACATGACAGAAATTGCAAATCTTCTACAGGTTCCATTAAAACAAGGGACAAACAAAAAGGGTGCATATAATAGAACTATGAAAGTTCCAGACGGAATGAAAGAATTAGTCCACATTGTTGCCGGTCTTCAAAAAGATGTTAAACAAATGAGAAACGTTTTAACATTACCAGAAGCTCAAGCATATGCCAAACGTCAAGGTCCAAATTGGGAAGCACATGAAGCAGACATTACAGGACCAAATGGAAAACCTGATGGTATAAATGAAGTCTTTGTTACTGATGGTCAAGGAAATATTAAAGTCATAAATGGGTATAAATTAACAATGACGGATTATCCTAAACGTAAAGCATATAATGAATGTTATCCTATACAATTTGATGAAAATGGAAAAGCTGTTAAACAATACATTGGAGAAGGTGAAAATGGTTCAATATATTCATACCATCTTATTCCATATTCTTATTTCAATGAAAAATTAAATGCTGTTGAAGAGGGACCGGATGGATTACCACGATATGTTAATCAGTTTGATGGTCAATATGCAAATTTGAGACCTGAAATTCCAGCTAAGAAATTCTTTAAAGTTGCTTTATTCGATCCAGTGTTCAATGAACAGAAAGAAGCAATGAAAGCAGAATTTAAACCAATTCAAGTGGCAAGAATTTCTTCATCTTCACTTTCAGAAGCGTTCAAGGAATTGATAAAGAAACCACTTTATTCTCAACAAGGTTATAACTTTGATTTAATTAAAGAAAGTGATAGACGTAAATTAGAAAATCAGATGGTTTTAAGAATGCATGTAATGAAATGATTAAAGATATTGTAAATGATAAAATAAGACTGGAAGAAACTCAAAGCAATATCAATAACATAATTGGTGCAGTTACAAAGAAAGTATAAGCAAACAAGGATGAACCTTGGGATATTACCGTAACAACTAAATAAAACTTTAAATATATTTTTCTTTTTTTTATTCGATTATAAATGAGAAGACGTTTCACTAGTCAAAAGACACGCAAAAGCAGAGATTACGGTTGGTTATAACGTAAATGATGATAAATCACGAATTATTCAAAATGTTAAAGTTAATGTAAGTCCTGAATTAACAAGGTCAGCAACTCAACCAAATTTATTAACTCGTGACTTACCAAAGAAAGAAGAGGAGCAAAATAAAGAAGATGGAGACCCAATCATTTTATCTGAACCCGGTAAAGAACCTGTTGAAATTCCCACTTATCCAACATACCCCCCACCACTTTCATCAAACATCGAGAACCCAGGAATCTACGATTCCAGTCGCAATGCGCCATATAAAATAGACATTAATTCTGAATTAATGAAAATATATCGCGATATCATAACTGATAATTATGATTCAATAATAAATTTAATTGACCAATCCGGTTTAATTATTTTACCTTATGAATCATTAATTCACATTATCGCCATTCTTTGTGATGTTCAAGATTCAGACGTTAAGATTCAATTTTTCATAGATGATGAGGTTTCATGCTGCGGAACGGTTGCAAAAATAAATCCTATAAAGGATATTAGCACAATTAAGATATCAAAGAACGAACAAACTGAACTTCATTTAACATATAATGATATTTATAATAAAATAGTTGATGAATATAAAATATCACTTGAAAAATTCTTTGTTAAGGCTATTTAATATTCAAGCATTAACATTATCGAATAATAATCCTTTGAATCATAATCAATAATAATTGACCTTTCGCCAGTTTCTATCGTTTGTTTTATTTCTTTTTGTTCCCCACTATCTGGATCGGTCATTGTAATTGTTTTTGTTATAGTATCAGCTTTATCTTTAACTTCAATCTTTTTTCCATCGGGATATTTAAACCAAAATTCCAAAAATTCGATATTGTCAATCTGTTCATATTTTAATCTATCAATTACATTTTTAATACCATCTGAAAATCTTATGAAATGGTCATTATATGGGTTTGATTGAACTAAATTTGAATGAAGTGAAATATAACCTGATGATGAATATGACATCGACTCATATTTTCTGAAAACACTAAAATTTATAACATGAATGAATTTCTTATTCGTTGAATTTATGAATTCTTGAGGTAATCTTATTCTAGTTTTATTTATCACTGGAAAATAACGCTTTACCATATTTTTAATCGTAATAAAAAAATGTCAATTATCAATATTATTTCGAATAATAACTGTGAATTAAATTTAACAGTTAGTGGAATTTATAATGTTACTCTCGTTTCTGTGAGTGGTAAATTTAATCCCATTCTTTTAGACCCTTCAGATTATATATCATTTATTAAAGATGACATGAAAAAACGTATAATATGTATATAAATAATGTAATAGTGAAATGGGATATTAACACAATTTTAAGTTATTTAAATGAATCATTTATCGTATGGTATGAAGAAAATTTTAAATCAAAACCTGATAAACTTTTTGAACTTGATGAAATAAATAACCTTATTAAATTTCCGCTGAAAATTAAATTTTGTACTCCTCGTTTTCGTTCATTGTTGGGGATATTAAATTTTGAAAAAGATGTTGGGGATGTTTTGTATTCTGACACTGGTTCCAATTTCATTTTAATCAAATGTGATAAAGTTAATACCCAATGAGATTTTCACACCAAACATTAGACCCTAACTCTTACCCATCAATTCAAAACATTTTATCCATCAACTTAAACACATTTTCTTTATCATATCCGTTTCAATTATCCGGGAATTCATTTATTCTTCATTCAAAAGATTTATCAAATATTAAATTTAGAATAACTGACCTATTTGATTGTGATTTAGAATTCATGAATGAGATATTATGGCAATTTCAAATAGAAAAAATAGCTGATGAGATAACGGATTAAATATTTATTTTTAAATCATAATAAATGATTAAACAACAGCAACCACAACAACTTAAGGCACAAAGCACCCAGGTCCCTCAGACCATTACATACGCCATATATGCATATAATTCAAAGACGGCAGAACAAACGCAAAGGTTGAAATATGGAGATTTGGAGATAGTATTGAAAAATGAACATTTCGAATTCGTTTGCAAAGGTGGTGCAGTGATATCAAATATAAAAGAAATTTTATTTATGAATTCTAAATTAAAGGTATAACGGATGATATAACATCAATTCCACCAGAAGAACAGAGATATTACGCATTAAATGCATTTCCTAAAGTTTTGAAGATTGGAAGATTTAATTTAAATGAGGAATTCATAGAAGGTTTCCTAAATGACATAATGAAGAAAGCAGATAAGGGATGGGTGGCTAGTGTGTTAGTGAAGAAGGCGGATAAGGAATATGTGGATGAAAAAGATAACGAAATGAAAGAAAGGGTTGACTGGTACCATGAATGGACATCGAAGATTTTAAAAACTAAAGCTGATACAGGGTGGGTTTCAGGATGTTTAGACCTTAAAGCGGATAAAACATATGTTAACGATGAGTTAGAGAAGAAAGCAAATAAGACTCATACACATAC